ATCTTCTACTTGCTGTTGAAAACCGGCTAAGATAAAAAAAAAAAACAAAAAACAAAATAGAACACAAAAAAACGCTATCAAAGATTTAATGTTAATTTCAAGAATTTAATTTCGATTGACTTAGAATTAAGAACTTGATTTTTTCAGATTTTTAGTTTATGCCTTAGTTAATAAATATTTTTTTAAGCTGAAATTCATTACTGGTTTCTCAGCGTGCAGAGTTATTTTTTTGGCCTCAGCTGTCCTTTATCTCAGTTCATTTTGTTGTTGTTGTTGTTGGCGTGCTGGCTGATCTGGAGCAGCGATAAATTGGAGCCACCTTTGTTGGCCCCTTGTCCATTGTTGTTGACAAATCAGTTGACGTCGCGACGGCACACGCGCTGCCCAGTTCGGCGTTCTTGGAGTCTGTTTTATTCGGCAGACCCGTTGTCACCTACAAAACCCATTTACCCCCACGTCGCGACTGTCACACGGTCGCATCCCAATGGACCGTCGTCGTCGTCGTCGTCGTCGTCATCGTTGTCGTTGTCGTCTTCGAAGGGCAACACATTAAAAGTAAATTAACTTATCAGCGACAAAGATCAGTTATTTTATTACGTTTGTCCACGCAGTAACACGAACATTATAATATCAAAGATGCCGATTAAGATTCTCAATGAAACTGAGCGATATGCAGCCACATCCACAGCGATAAGGACAGATATATCGAGCAAGGCAATAAAGAGGTAAAAAGATGGCTAGGGAGGGTGAGAAATAGGGGTAGATAGTTGGTAGTTAAATCACTCAGTTGCCTAGCTGCTATGCTTTATGCTTTGTGTGGACAACTTGCTGGAAATCCATCTAGTTATATATAGATCTCTAGCGATCTCTACAAATTTCGATTAGCTAACGAGTTTGCAGTCTCTGCATTTATCTGTCATCCAAATGACCATTAGACGATTGTAATGAAATCCCAAGCAACTCAAATATTTGTCTGAATCTTCCACATTTAAAGTTGTGACTAAAGAGTGAATCAACACTTAAGATTGTCCCATCGACATCTACATCTTGATAAGTAGTATTTTATGAGTCTGCACATAACACTCTGGGTTATAGCCTGCACATAAATATGCATAAAACTTACAGATTTCCAGAGGATTTCCCGTTTAGCTATAGGCTCTGAAGGAAGCACAATATATACAGTCCCCAATCAAAATAATGTATATATAATATTATTTATATGATTTAATATCAAGTTTTAATTTAGATGACTAGAGCCTTCATTACTAAGATAAGGCTTGTAGCACCAGGAACAAAATTATGAAAGCATATATTTAAAAGAAAACTTTGTATGTTTCTCCCTGAATTTCACTTATATTCGGGATACAAAATAGAATACTCTGAATCGCTTGGCGCAGTCAAGCACCTTTGCTGTTATTTGTAAATGTTATATAAATTGTAAATAAAATATATTGCATGCTCATTTATAAGGTGTCAATAAACTGAAGCTGAAATCCTTGAGCTCGAAGATCGGCGCCACAGGAGTCTCTGAGGCACAAGCCACAATTCAGAAATACCGCCGGCAACGCAGAGTATTTCTCTCTCTCTCTCTCTCTCTCTCTCTCTATGTATATATATATATATATATATATATCTTTTCTCTCTATATATCTTGCTCGCTTTGACTCTGTCTTATCTGGCTAGTTGGTGGGCTTTTTCTTTATTTTTGGGCAGGAGGGAGGGGCATCTACTCGCCTGGTTGGCTGACTAACTGACTGACCGGCTGGTTGGTTGGCTGGTTGGTTTGTTGGTTGGTTGGCCGCCTGTGTTGCGGATGTTGTTAACAGCAGAGCAAACACATTGATAAGGCAGTAGAGTCAATAAATTAGTGAACATTAACTGGCAAACAAACACGCTAATTAGATAGTTAGATAGCCAAGTTTGCAAGTCAGACGGCTGCCAGCAGCAACAAAATTCGCAGAAGACTGTGGACAAGGAGGGCGGGGGAGGGTAGCAGGGGGTTTGCTCAGTTAGAGACGATGGCATAGCCTTCCTGTGGCAGCGCTTGCGAATGCACAAAATAACGACCAGAAAAACTGGCAAGTATCCAGTTTGCACACCAATAGCAACAGGGTGAGGATCTGTGGAGCGGGTGAGAGGAGGAGGGTGCCGGGATGACAGCCAGCCAGCCAGCCAGCCAGCCAGCCAGACAGACAGACAAACAGACAACTGGCAACTGCGCATTGCGCATTGCGGTTGGTGACTTTTATACAAAACTATATATATGTTTGTACAATTATTTTAAGCATTCAATTGGAATTCGACCACAGCAGGCAGAAGGAGGCGACCGCAGGATACTTTTGCCTGCCGCTGGCAATTATATGCATTTAAATGCAATAACCGTCATCAGCCGGGATGAGCACCAGAATGAATGAGCAGCCAGTCAGCCAGTCAGTCCATCAGTCAGTCATTCAGTCAGTCACAAAGTAATTTTTGTGTGCATTGAGACTAATTATTTTAAATGCGCTATCCCGCAATTGAAGTGCGCGCATGCGTTCCAGTTCCCAGTTGCCAGTTGCCAGTATCCTGTGCTATCCTGTCGAACTGTCGTCCTGTCCTCCTGTCAGTTGGCTGCTCTAATTTCGTTGCGCCTTTTGCCACTAACCGCACTAACAAACGACTAATGACCTGACCTGAGCACAATTCCAATTCCAATTTCCCAGTCCGAATCAATATCAATCAAACGTTTGCCGCTCGACAAATTGCATTTTTTCTGTTTTCTGTTTTTTTTTCGGGTTTTTCGGCTTGAGCTCGGAACTGGTACACATCCGCTGTGAGAAGTAATTAGTGTACTGGGCTAATGCTGCTCCGGGGGCAACATGCGGCACACACAGTTTTGTGCGTCTCTGAGGCTGAGCTATTGGCGTGAAATTTTAATTGGCGCCCATGTTCAGCCACTTGAACCACAAGCAGACAACAGAAGCTGCCAACTGGTCAACTAGAGTGTATGAGTGTGTGTGTGTGTGTGTTTGTGCGAGTGCGAGGGAGAAGTAGCTATTTGCCAGCCAAAATTTGAACTTATTTACGTATTGTAGGTGTTCCATCTTTTGCGCCAAGATCACAATCGAATTAAGTGTTCACAGCATCTTTGAATTTTTGCAATATTTGATATCATTAATCATTAATATTTAAAGATGATGTTAAGGGAGAAAGAGACAATTATTATTCTTCTTGAACTAAACTTTAAATTGGAAACTTTTGTGACACACATTTAAATAGAAAACCAAACAAATAAGTAATCATTTATCGCTCCAAACTCACACGTTAAATTGCCAATGTTAAATGTTAATGGTATATAATGAACAAAATGCACAAAACTTAATCAAAGGAGCCATCAATTAGCAAATAAACAACATAAATTTAGTATAGAGATCTGGATAAGAAAATTGCAACATTGCGTAAATTAAAATTATATATATATTTATTCGACACATAAGTTTACAAAAAAGACACCATTTTTTTGTTGCTAAAGCCAATTTATTTTTATTGTTCTATTTTAACAAACCTATTTACTCCACGAGTCCCTAATGGGCTCTCCACAATTTAATTATAATTGTATAAGGAAATGGATACTTTTCTGATATTTTGATATTAAAACATCTTAATAGAAGTGAGTAAGTATGAATTGAGAAATTGCAAAAATTTTAGTACTTCAATTAATTTACTTTCTTTCTTGCGAGGTAGTTTTTAGTCATTACTTAGAGTCAGATATACAACATTGGCCATAACGAAAATGTATTTTAGTTTTTACTATTATGCGTCAATTGGAGCATTAGAAGAGAGAAAAATCTAATTAAATTTGGAATCGGCACCAGATATTATTCATTTATTTTTTCCACTCAAGATGCAAAATCTGTGGACTGCCGATAATTGATCCTTTCGTCGCAGTATCATAAGCGCCATTTTGTGGAGCCCCAAGGCGCTGCCAACTTGCTCGGTGCTCTGCGCTGCCCACTTGCGAGAAGCGAATAACAAAAACAAAAAAAAAGAACAACAAAAAACGAGAAAGAGAAAGACGCGTTCCTTGGCCCTTTGCCTCGCCTGTGCCTGTGTTTTTGACCGACATTCGCTTGACTGCTGCCTGCGAGCAGTTTGCTCTCGGCGCGCTCTCTCTCTCTCTCTCTCTCTCTCTCTCTTAACAAAGTTGCTATAAAAACTGGACGGGAAACTCACCACACACATGAACTGAGCGCATGTTGAGTTCGCGTTGCCCACCAACATGGCGCTGTGCACGAGCGGGATAGCAAGAGTGGAACAGCGACAGCACGCGGACAACAGCAACACCGCAGAGGGTGTGTGTGTGTGTGTGAGAGAGAGAGAGAGAGAGAGAGTGAGAGCGAGATGCTGTGAGAGAGGCAGCGCAGTCGGAGTCGAGTACAATTCGCAGCGTTCTCGCTTGCGCGCTAAACCAACACCACCACCATCACCGCCACCAGCAGCAACAGCAGCAGCAGCAACAACAGCAACAACAACAACAACAAGCAACAAACCACCACCTATGACAAAGTGGCAAAAAATTTGCTGCCGCCGCTGCGACTGCGAGTGACTGTGTGAGTTTTGTGCGGCAAGAGCGCTGCAGGTGCGTTTAGTCTCGTTTTGGCAGCCACTGCGCGACGACGTCCACAGCGCAGGCAAGAAACGTTGAAGCTCTGCAGATCTTTCAAAAAGTCGAACTTCAAATTCAAAGCTGAAAGCGAACGAAAACAGTGTGAAACACTTGGTTTATTCTCATCTTTTTTTCTTTGTTGCAACTGTGTGAATCTGTGAAGTGACGCGAGTGCAAGAGTGAATTCAAACTGAGAAACAGAAAGCGAAAAAACAAAACAAATCATTTTGCAGCCGTTGCTGGCAATGAAAGACTCAATGAGCATTTTAACACAAACGCTGCCGACAACAACAGCGAACAGCGAGCCGTCGCCACATCATAATCATCATTCGCCCCACTCGCACCACCACCATCATCATCATCATCTGTATCCGCTGCAGCAGCAGCAGCAGCAGCCGCCGCCGGTCAACATGTCCATGTCCAGCTCATCGAATCTGAAGCCAAATCGTTCCCGTTTCATGATCAATGATATTCTTGCGGGCAGTGCGGCAGCCGCCAGCGCTGCAGCATTTTACAAGCAACATCAGAACAACAACAACAATACTACTACTAATAACAACAACAGCAACAACAACAATAATAATATCAATAATAATAATAACAACAATAATAGCGAGCATTTGGAAACGGAATCGGAGCCAACAACGCCGCCTAGTTCAGTTTTGGGACTTGCACCACCGCCGCCACCACATCAGTTGGCGCATCAGGCGCACCCACATGCGATCCATGTCCACCACCAGCAGTCACATACACATCCGCATCCACATCCGCATCCGCATCCACATCAGCATACGCATTCACTTCCGCACACCAAACTGACCCATTTTGGAAGCACCGCACAGCTGGCCACCAACGGCCTAAGCGTGGCACATTATGCAGCGGCAATGCAACAGCATTATGCAGCAGCCGCCGCAGCAGCAGCGGCGCGAAACAATGCAGCAGCAGCAGCCGCAGCGGCAGCAGCGGCGGCTGTGGCAGCAGCAACTGGAGCCGGTGAAGCGCCGACGCCGTCGGCTGATCTTGATGATAGCAGCGACTACCACGAGGAGAACGAGGACTGCGACAGCGATGAGGCGGGCAGCGGAGGTGGTGGTGGCGGTGGAGGTGGAGGAGGCGGAGGCGGTCACATGGATGATCACAGCGTTTGTAGTAATGGTGAGGTGAGCTTCTGTATTATTTTGGGGGGAAGGGGCGCCAGAGAAATCCACAGATAGATCAGCATTGAGAGAACAACAACAATAAATGGAGAGAAAGAGAAAATTGGAAAAAACGTTTTGAGGATGTTGCAATTGAAGGCAATTGACTGCTAAAGTTAGTTAGTTGTGATAATTGAGTTTGTTTCCCCATCTATATATATATCTATATATAATGAGGCATTTCAAAGTAATTGCAACTGAAAGTCTTGTCATGCCTGAGAGCTGATTAGATCACTATTCAAAGAAATGACAAATGCTTTTCGAATTAGTGAACGGCAAGAACAGAAATTGATTTATATTATAAATAAACGCTGATCATTAATTAACTAACTGATATTATGCATGTACCATGACATAACAGTTAAAATATAACAGCTTTTGACATATAACTCAATTAATAACCTTAGTTAACGTGTAAAAGGCAAAAAGGCAGTCAAAGCCACTGTGAATCGTTTACCAATAAATTCAACTTTTCAATAAGCCAAGTAATTTTAATGCGATTGCTTAAATGTACATTATGGTAATCGGGAATACTGAGCACTTAATTGAGGGTACGATAAATGCATGCATTTTATGGAATATATTAAAGGTTGTATAATAACAACTTAAGCTTTTTGACCGCTAAGAACTTGTTCACTTTCGACTTCAAAGTCTTTTCTGCTTGGGTATAAATACAAACATTAAGAGATCTATACACATTTGTATTAAACGACTCTATAAACTAGGCGCTTATTAAATGAATATTAATTGATTTTGTACTCGATTTCAATGCGAAAGCATTTACCATGGCATATGGGATGATAATATAGGCACAGCGATAACCAATCGCAGTTTAAATCACCACCCTCTCGCTCGCTCTCACTATATCTCTCTCTCTCTCTCTCTCTTTCTATGTTTATATGTGTATGCTTCTCTCTCTCCCTCTCTTTATCTATCCGTGCAGCTGTCTGGCTGTCTGAGTGAATGTCCCAAGTTCGTTGCCAGAGTCTTTTGTTTGTGTGGACGCAGCCGCTTTGCAAAACAAACTGTAAAAATTGCCATGAGCATGCCATATTCTAGTTATTGTCGGAGGTGTTGTGGGACGCCGGGAGGGCATATAGGCGGGGGCGACTTTTGGATACAGCTGAAAAATTGCATTTTCACGCTTTGTTTGCTTTTGCCAGTGCTTTTTGCCTCTTTGCTGGTGCATTCTTCATTTCCTAAATGTGCATTTGTCTGCCAGCAAAATTGTTTAAACAGTTAACAACAACAACAACCACAGCTGCAAAGAATAATGGCACAGTTTGGGGGCGTGGCTGCTTGTGAAGTCCAAACGCAACTTACACATATAATTTTTGTGTTTTTTTTTTTTTTGGTTTTTTGTCATTTTTATTTTTATTTTTTTTTTTGTTTTTGTTGCTACTTGCCGCACACAACTAATAAACGGTTGTCTCTTCTGCTGTTCCTTCTATTTCTCTCTGGTGGTAAATGTTAGAAAAAAAATGCATTAAAACCCAGATCAATGTGTGTGTGTGTGTGTGCGTTTTTGCGTGCCAGATGAATCTTCAACTCTCGTCAACCATTTATTACAGCAATTTCCTGTGTGCAATTGCAATTTTATAAACGGTAGTCGAGTCTTGTTGGCCCAGAGGCATTAGGCTCAACGCCCAGCCAGCTCTGACGACCACAAAGAGAGACAGAGAGCGAGAGAGAGAGAGAGAGAGAGAGAGGGAGAGAGATGAAGTGTAGGCAACTTGCTGTCCAATGTGATTTGCCTGCCAGCAGCGAAAGTTGCGGCTCTCTTAAGCATCTGCCTCTTATTTTTTTTCTGTTAATGTGACTTCACTGCAATTCTGTTTTCAAAAATGAAACTTGGTAATTGCGAGCAGTAGCTTGATCTTTTTGCGCTTTTTTCTTTTGTTCAGTTGCGAGCTTAAGGGCAGCAGTTAGCATTTTTCTAGTTGCCTGGTGAGCGAGGCGCGTTTAGTAAACAGTTTTGCTAAGTTTTTTTTATCCAATTTAAAGTTTACTTTGGCCTAAACGCGTACGCGGTAAGTTCGCGCTTTTTAACTAATTTAACGCTAGTGAGCTCGTGTTCTGGCTTGGCAAAAAGTGGCCCTGGACTTGGCCCTGGACAGAGCCCAGACGCTTATCACCTAACCGCAATCAGACAAATTTACATAAATTGTGTGTACTAAATGGAAAACGGGTAGGCAACAAACCAGACAGGGGTGGAAATGGCTAATGCGAAAGGGCCAGAAGGTATGAGCAACGCAGCCAAGTTTAGACATGTTGCTACACACATTTATTACACTTACACTTACACACACACACACACAGGCTGAGCAGAGAATGGCCAAGAGGAGAATGCGTTGAGAACGGAAACGGGCCTAAACTGTGATGTGTTAACTGTTAACTCTTAGCTGCTGCTGAGTTGATCGACTGATTTAGCTATGCAAATTGTGGCAGCTTTCGCAGATACCGTTAGAATCGTTTGCAGCTTAACATATAACAATATAGCATTAAAATATTAGATTCAATTTAACTTAGCGTACCACAGCTTACTTACGCCCCTGATTGTTTATTGCTTGCCTTTTTTTGTAGGTGGCAAGGATGATGATGGCAACAGCATCAAGAGCGGCTCCACCAACGACATGAGCGGGCTGAGCAAGAAGCAGCGCAAGGCGCGCACCGCCTTCACCGATCATCAGCTGCAGACACTGGAGAAGTCATTCGAACGGCAGAAGTATCTCAGCGTCCAGGAGCGACAGGAACTGGCGCACAAGCTCGAACTGAGCGATTGCCAGGTGAAGACCTGGTATCAAAATCGAAGGTGAGTCAGAATCATAATCAATCTAGCCTTTCAATTATTTTTAAAGCCAATTCACACATGCCCATGGAAAGATCCACTTACAATTATAAGTAAATTCTAGAAAGACCAGATGAGTGGGTAAATATAAATATTTATTTACATACTAAGGGTTGTTGAAGGATTATAATAAATTGGCATAAGCAAACTAGAAAAAAGTATATATATTATATATAAATATGACATTGCTGTAATGGGGATATTTGGCTTACGCCAGCTGTTGTTTTACGTATTGTTTATTGCCAGAACTATGTTTAAGATATAGAAATAATTGTGTAGAAAAGAATTGGCACATTTTCTTATTGACAATCGAACTTTTCGCATTTTTCTCCTGCAGAACTAAGTGGAAGCGACAAACTGCCGTGGGTCTCGAGCTGTTGGCCGAAGCGGGCAATTTTGCGGCGTTTCAACGTCTGTACGGCGGTTCTCCGTATCTGGGCGCATGGCCGTATGCGGCTGCTGCCGGCGCTGGCGTCGCAGCAGCTGCTGCTGCTCATGGCGGACCTTCCCACTCGAGCATCGATATCTACTATCGACAGGCGGCGGCGGCAGCCGCGATGCAGAAGCCATTGCCCTACAATCTGTACGCGGGCGTGCCGAGCGTCAGCGTTGGTCCGATGGGCGCAGCCGCCGCGCCCTTTTCCCATCTATCCGCCTCCAGTTCGCTGTCCTCGCTAAGCAGCTACTATCAAAGCGCAGCGGCGGTCGCAGCGGCAGCCAATGGTGCTGGCGGCGGTGGTGGTGGTGGTGCGGTAGGTCCGCCACCGGCAACGGCGCCAACTGCTGGCATGGGCATCATACATAAGCCACAGCCGCTGGTGACCGGTTCACCAGCTCGTCCGTCGGCAGCCAGTCCGGGCCATCCGCCGTCGACGCCCAGCCCGACATTGAATCCGGGCAGTCCACCAGGCCGATCCGTGGACAGCTCTCAGGCGCAGTCCGATGATGAGGATCAGCTGCAGGTGTAAAAAGTTTAATATTAAAAAAAAAAACAAAGCAAAAGCAAAAACAAATCAAGCCATTTTCAAGCATTTGTTTCCCAAACCCAAAAAGGCCAGGTGGGCGAAAGCGGAAGGTGGAGTCCGTGGGTGTGCGTGGGGGGGTTGGGGGGGGGGGAATGTATATACATGTGTGTGTGAGTGTGTGTGTGTGTCTTTATTTATTTTTTTGCTTCTAGTAATTTATTCAATAAAATAACTAACAAAAGATATATATAAATCAATTTTTTTTTTGAGGTTAGCTTTAAGATATACGATGTATTAATATTTATTTAAATGTTGTAAAAATTAGCTGCCAAACAATTAAATCTAATTAAATAATGAGAACAACAACAGTGTTAAGCTAACCACAACATGTATTATCGCAAACGAAACAAAAAAAAAAATACTTTTTTGTAGAAATTGCATTTTTTTTTTTGTTTAAACTATTTTTTTTTTTTAATTAGAATAAACGTGCTCGTTGTATTTGTAATATAAATGTAATTCAATCCAAACATTTTTTTGTCTAAATAAATATGATAGAAATATAAACACAATTTTTTCTAAACAGAAAAGAAGGAGAAAGAATGGAGTACGAGGGCTAGCATAAGATCGAGGACGAGAATAAGGACGATAATGATGACGATGTGCGGGCCAACCCCTAATGATAAAAATTGCATGTAAAATGCATTTAACCGCAATTAGTGCATTTATTGGGCCAGAAGCAGACGCAGAAGCAGAAGCAGAAGCGAACGTCTCGCATATTGAATAACACCAGCGACTAGTTGGCCAGTTGGCTATAACTGCACTAGCTGCAACTGCCACTGCCACTGCTACAGTTATGACCATGTCCAGTCAGCTTTTGGCCAGGCTACATTGCGTTGCGTGCAACGGTGCCAACATGCAACTGAGCGCTGCAGGCCAAGCCAAGGCAAGCCTTTCAGTTTAGCTAAGGACACCTGACAAGCTCACAAGCTCAACAGCTTATGCTCCACAAGAGCATATTGAATTTAAAGAAAAAAGAAAAAAAAAAACAAAACGAAACATAATGGTTCACAAATTACAGTTTTATGACTAATGAAAACCAAATAAATATATGTAAAAAATAACTGCAATTTACATCGAATATGCAATTTTGGGAAATTTGAGACATTTTTTGTTCAATTGAAATTCGAAAAGAGGTGCATTAATTGGTTTTTGTAAGCCACATAGATTTAATTATTAAATATAAATAATATTTTGAATAGAAATTTACTGAATTGTGCTACAAAATAAGCATGGTCTAAGCAATGGAATTCAAACCGATATATTGAAAATTTTGGTCATGGCTTTGCGAGTATTCAGCAGGGCATTAGGCCAGTCGGTATGGCCGTCTGAGCTAGCGCTTTTGCCCTGACCAAAACTTTTCTGCTGCACGCTTCTTGGTAGCACACACACAGGAGAAAGAGAGAGAAAGAGAGCGAGAGAGAGAGAGAGTCAGAGGAGAGGGGGAAACTCGCGCGTTTCTCTGTTTTGCGCCTTCGTCGACAAATTGGCCGCAATGTTAATGTTGGTTTAAAACAAAAGCGACGCTTGGTAGGACAATAAATGCAACGGCCGAGAACAGCAGCAATAATAGCAATAACAATGCTACAATGCCCGCAGGGGGGAGTTGGGCAACCGTTCATTAAAGACAAATGACACAAAACCTGCACCATGGATATGCCCTCTCTGTTCCCCTCTTCCCCTCTGCCGCTGCATGCTCAATTAAACATGAGCGTTGTCGGTAGCCAAATGTTGCTAATTACTGCAATAGTACCAGCAATTGGCGAAAGTGTCTGTCCAAAGAGCTGGCTAAGTGCAACCAGTGTTGATCAACAGCACATTCGAAAAACACACACAATTAAATATATAAAAACTCTATCCGGTCTGCTTTGTCACCAAAACAAAATCGATGGCTTCAAAAATACAAATATGCACATACATACTTATTATTAATTTATCCACCAGTTAATTTATTAATTATTAATCATTTTTAATCTTAAGTGGGTCTGATGCGTCGGGTATTATAAAATTCACATGCTCTATTAGCTGAGTTAATTTCTTAGTATCTGTATTGAATGGATATATTAAAAACCTTGTTGCATGTTTAAAACACGATTATTAAGTTATTTATTTTATTTTAATAATGTTTAGTGTTGACTAAAAACAGTAAATTAAATGATATACAATTAAAAATTAAAAATTAAATGTGAATTTAAAATAAAAATAATAATCTAGACTCAATTAACAAATTAAATGATATAAAATTGGGAATTAATGATTAAATACAAAATTAAAATATAATGAATAATTTAAACTAAGTAAACAAATTCGAAACAAATCTAAAATGAAATAAGAATAATTAAAACTAAAATAAAAGATTAGGTATGAATTATAAAATACAAATTTAATAGATAAATAAAGGGTTGAATAACTATTTCATATTCCAAATGGGAAATAATAATACAGCCTGGAACTTGACTCAGTTATTAATTTGTTCTTTTCACCCGTTTCACCATATCTGCAATATGATAAATTGAAAATAATTGTTGGATTATCTCTTCATTTGTATTTGACAACGACTTAGCGTAAATAATTAATTTGTTTATCTTTTAACTAAAGACTTTTCTTAGAATATTATGACAGCTTTTGTTAATAAAGGGGATCTTTTTTGTAGTTGGCAAAATAATAACTTGGATATTTTCTTTACTCTGGCACAAAGTCCCAAAGTTTCAAATATATGGATTGAATAAACATGTTACCATTCCTTAAAATAAAAAATATAATAAACGTATTCTGCTGTTGTCTTGACTCTGAGCACATAATCATAATTATGAAATATTTTTGATTACGGCAGCAATTATAAACAGAATCGTCCAAAGTAACTCGAGTAATCAGAATGTATTGGTCCTGACCAAATGTGGGGAAAACAAATGGGTAACGTAATTGGGTACATTTCATGCATAAATTAAAGGTGCGAACTAAAATAAACGAGAATATTGCGGATAATGTGGAGCGAGAGAGGGAGAGAGAGAGAGAGAGAGAGAGAGAGAGAGAGAGAGGCTTATCAGCGTATTTGTTTTCGATATCAGATACACACATACACGCATACACACATATACATATGTATCTGTGGCGTTCGTTTGATATGCAAACTTTGTCATCTGATGGATAGATGGGCGCCCAGCACCCCCGCCCCTCCGGGAATTGCGACGCTGATTGGGGAATTCGCCTGGCGCATTTATGAAATGAAGCTGAAATGCTCGTATTGGCTGCTTACTGTGCTGTAACATCAATTTGCATGGAAATCAGCAAAAACAAACCGCAGTCTGCCAAAGTATCTGATGCTGTTGTACACCCACCCTAAACCCTACACCCACCTGCACCGCTTCCCCACACCGCCCCTCAGCCTCCAAGGCTCAATATAATTGCCTACTACACACACGGCTGGCGTTTAAAATCGAAACAGAAACAGAATGGGAATGATGAGAATGTGCCCAACTCAAATATACGTCGTCAAAGGCCAATGTTTTTTTAAGTGTAGGCATGCAGCTAATCTTCATAACCTCGCGACTGCAAATCGGGGGGGGGGTAGGAAATCGATAAATTCGATATTCGCAAATCGATAAAAGCACATATATCCCATACTTTAAAGGCTAAAGTCAGCAAATTAGGTTAGCAGGTTGATGGCAATGTCCTTCAAAGATCGGCATATGCCACGCCCACCATCGCCACCTCCAGGCACTAGAAAGATGAAATGCGCATATTCAACTTCAAACTTCAAAGGAACGTTACTAACTTATATCTACCACAATTTGAAAAGCAAACTTGAACAGTATTTCATAGCTACACGCACCCTGTTCTTTGCTACCTGTTATCAGTTGGTATTACTTATGGTATCAAAGTATTTCGGAGTCGGTTCCGTCAGACAGCAACGTTCTCTCTTTTATGGAATCAAGCGTAATTTTGCTTATGCGGCATATGGTCTACATTCCAATCGGAAAGCATTTACCCGGTAAATGCAGGGAATACGAGTACCTTGCCAAATTTTGTGGGTTGAACGAGCGAACCGGAACAACGCCCATGATTCGGGATTCCTATCTTTGTGAGCAGAGAGCCACAAAATTGCAAACGGAAGAACAAACTCCACACTGACCATCATGCCGTGTTGCTTCCTACTCTGCCCGACATGCAGTCAAATTAAACGTTCAATCAACAAAAAATAAATAAAAATAATACTAGCAATGTAAAGCCAAAGAAAATATATATATATAGAAAACAGAAAAAAAAGAGAAAAATCAATTTATTAAATAGTTTATTGTAGGAACAAATTAATTTTTAATTCGCATTTAATTTTGCTCGCCTTTTTTTCTGTTTCGATTGCATTTCCGCCGACACTTGCCATATGCTACTTATCAGGGGAGTAGCGGCAGCAGAGGTGTTGGGCGTGTCAAGTGGGCGGCATTATTAATGATAGTTTTCAATGTGTCGCTAGCTGATGCATCTTGTAACAAATGGGCGAGAGAGACAGAGAGAGAGAGAGAGAGAGAGAGAGAGAGCAGCAGCAACTGAGCGAGAGAGAGAGAGACAGAGAGCGAAAGAGAGTTTTAATCGCATACCTCCCCTTTATTAGTTGTCACATTTTGCACATTTTATCTATGTACATTTGTACATATTAATTCGTTTTACGTTTTTTGTGCAATTGTCATAATGAACACATTTGGCAATAAGCGGAAATTGCGCTTAATTGCCGCAAAGTTTGCGTTCTAATAATAATTTGTTCAAATTGTTTTATTTGACAATTGCACAGATTCTTTAGCTTAGTTAACCCACTTTTGCCACTTTTTGGCAATATCTAGTTAAGGCATAATCCCGTTAAGTTAGACAAATAAAAACTAGTTTGATAATGGTGAGAGTATTTCAGATTCGCGTTTGAGGGCAGCTTGTGGCATATTCAAATACAAAACATACATACCATGAGTGTGTGGTGAATGAAGCGCAGCAACGCTTAAGGG